TTTCTCTGTCGCCATGTCTCGCTTTTGATATGTCTCACCTTCCACGATTGCCTCAGTTTTTCCTTGCCCCTCATTCTCTACCTAAAACTCACCCAGCAAACCAAACTATTGAGGCTCTTCTCATTTCCTCTTCTCTGATTTTTTTTTCCTACCTCCATTCTTCTCTTCTCTCTTCTCTCAGATGAGTCGATCTTCATCCTTTCTAATGTAAGTCCCCCATCCCTGCTCTATGGGTTAGTCTAAGTTCCCTTCCTAAAAACATAGGACTAGAGTTGGCATTCACAAAATTGTGTCTGAAATGGGGAGTAAGGTGACAGAAGAGAAAAATGAGGGCTCTGGATTCTCACACATGTTAATAATTTTTACAAATCATACATAAATGGGATTTTACAGAGAATAACCCAGAAGTAGATGGAGAGCAATGGACAGGAAAGTCAGATGAGGGACTGAAGAGACACAGCTCCCAAAAGAGAGTTAGCTCCAAAAAACCAAGTCAATAAAGAGAAATGCTTAAGTTGAGGGAATCCAGTGGAAGCAGTGATTTGAGGTGAACAGAGGTGAAGCTTAAGTTGAAATGAGAAGTATAGGATTTTTGAGTTTAATTTCTGGGAGTGTAAAAAATAAACAAACAATTGTGATGTCAGAGGCTGAAAGATTATAGTTGCCATTTGAACTTGGGGATGAGGAAACGTCTAGAACTTGACTGGAGAAGAAGAACTAATGTACACTGGAAAGCATATGTTTATAGCAGAAAAACGGGAAGACTTATCTTTTTCTGGAGATGGAGTGAGGAAGGGGAGAGTAGACTACTCATTTTAAGGGTGAAACATTGGAACTTAACGTGTTTGATGTTATGTTAATTGGGGGTTAATTACTAAGCTAAGTACATATGAAACATTTATGGCTAGCTTGTTCCCCAAAATCATGCAATGTAGTGAACTGGCTTTCACACTCTAAATTATTCACTGACAGTGTAGTGATTGGGGTTTATCTTAGAACATGGACACTGAAAGTAACACTCAGAGTACGTTGTGATTTAAAGAGTGAAACAACCGCCAGTCGCATTTGTGGACATTGCGATAGTTGAATTTATCACGGATGAACATACATGGTCTTCTTTCTGAGATTTTCTTTAAGATTTTCTCCCAGAGAATCTATTTCTTAGGTTTTGGAGGGAAAACTTGAATTTTATTGATCCCTCAGAACTCAATCTTTCAGATTTCAAAGGAGCTATTTCTTTTAAGGGAGACCCTTAATATTTATAAAAGCTCTTCAGAGGATGGAGGGTGGGAGGGAAACTCCATCCCAATAACACAAAAAGAATGAAGCATGAGGCTCCACCAGTTCATCCCCACTCCTTGAAATACATCAGTATTGAAAGACACATCCACCCACCCCCAACCCAGCCCAGCCCTACTGCTGTTCCAGCCCAAGGGTCAGAGGCCCCAAAGCTGCGGCTCTTCTACAGTCTTCTGCTCTGTGACTCCAGTCTGTTGTCTCCAAAGAAAACCGCTGGGTACCCAAGAAACAGAGGCACATCTGGTTGGATAGATTTGTGATTGCAAAAGAAGGGGTAAAATAAAGAAAGGAAAAAAAAGAGCTCTCTCTACAAGATAACCAGAGGCAGCATACTGAAATCCTCCTGTGGGATAATAAGCTAGCACTTCTGGGCCTGATGGTTTAGTGAAAACCTGTGCTTGAGGCTACGTTACAGTGAAAGGGTGAAGCGAACAGTAAGGAGCCATTACTTCCCTCCTTAGGGAGGTGTCGTGTTTGTCCATACATCCCCACAGCACCTAGCACAGTACCTTGCATCTCATTTGCCACTCACTAAAGTCCATCAAGTTAGTTAATGATCGAGACAATGCCCTCAGAAAATGAGAAAAGAGTATCCTTGTATCCTTGCTGCACTCTCCATCACTGATATTCTGCCTAAGAGAGGACTAGGCACAGGTTTGAACTAATGTCGCAAAACTGGATGGGCAAGTTACAATGGTGTTGATTAAGGAAACAGAACTCACGGGGCACTGGACGGCTCCACCCTGCTGACCCCTTGGAAAAATTCACAAATGCCTGATTGGTTTGGGAATGATAGGTCTAGATTAACACTACTGGGAAGATGTCTAAATTATAATCAGCAGAGAAAATGAAGTCCTTCTGGAAGAAGAGGCAAAGGTTATAAAGAAGAAAAGAAAGTGAAGTCCCTTCTCCCCCCAAACCTCTCATCAATCCATCAGGGTAACAAACAGAACGCTAGGGCTCTGTCTGTGGACCAAACCCAAAAGGCCTGTGGTCAGGGCTAGGAGGGTAGATCACATGTTTGAGGCAACTCCCTCTGCGGGCTTTTGCCCAGGTCTGTCACCAAGCGTAGGTTGGCCACGACTTCTGCACCAGAGCAGCATCCTGCTGTAGCACGGTCAGGTCCAGGAGTGAGGGAAAACTGCCCACTTCGAGTAGATAATATCTGGGAGGAATGACTGTTTGGGAAAAGTTCCAGTGCTAGTTCAGTGCCAGCCCTTCCCCACCTCTCTGGCCCTCTCCCACTGGTTCCTCCCCTCTCAACTGCTCTGGTTCCTATAAAAACCTCACAGCCTTCCACTAACATCCTGTAGGAGCCTCTCTCCCTACAGCTGCTACACACAACTGACCTGCCACTGACCTGCAGGACGAGACCATGAAGAGCCTGGTCCTTCTCGCCATCCTGGCCGCCTTAGCGGTGGTAACTTTGTGTTATGGTGAGACACTTTTCTCCCTTTTCTCTGAATTTACTTTTCTGCCTCTGACTTTGGGTCATATTTTTTCTCTCCCTCCTCCTCTTCTTCCCCCTTTCTCTGTTATAATGATGAAGTACCATTACTTTCACATTTCCCAGTCTCCGCGGACACTGATCTGTTGTATAGAGTCTTTTTTATGTCCTGAAAATCCAGACTCTTGTGCAACTTAACAGACAAGCCCTTTCAGTGGTAAGTCTCTGTATATCTAGAAACTCAGATACTTCAGAAAGAAGATACCGAATTCCCAGCCACTGTGTTCTCATTTTTAAGGATATTTATTTAGACGTTGGCATCAATGGGTTAAGGATATTGTTTAAACCACTTGCCTTTGGGAAAATCAATTTTCATGTGAAGTATTAAGTATAGCCCTTTCTAGGCTATACTTCATATCTTGAACAATATCATGAACTTACTATTTTTGTTCGGTTAATTAATTTTAAAATAAAGTTTTCCATCAAAAAAATTTTAGAAAAGAATCATTTTCATAACTTCTATTGTCAGAAAATAAATTTTTTCTATTTTCTACATGTTGTTAAATACACTTCTGTTTGTTCAAAGCTGAAAAAAGGACATCTGAAGCAAAGTTATTTATTACTTAATTCAGTCTCACATTTCAATTACCTGGATATTTTCACTGTTTTTAATTTTAAATTACATTAACAACCAGAAAGATTATGCTTCTCACTCTTGTCATTCCTCCACAGATTTTCTGTATCAGAGGATTTGATTTCTTCACCTCCTTTTTAACTTTTGAAGAAAAGTTACTTGCTGGCAAATATTAATAGAAGCCTCTTCTTCCAAAATTTACCTGCTGTGCTCAGGAGAGGGGCAGAAAGAAGAAAACTTTTGTTTTGACATCGTTTCAGTTCTCTCTCTGAACTGGCATCGTGCCCAGGGTGCGCTGTCAGCTGGAGCCCGTGGTTTCGGTGGCTGCCAATTTCACACAGGTTCTTAAGAGGTTTTCGGATCCCTCTTAGAAACTTGTCCTGGTAAGCCCAGCAGAGCAGCTGCCCTGCAGTTCTCTTGCCTGGAGAAACCTGGCTGTCTTCTGGATCCTTCTTAATCCTCTTTGACCCTGTTCTCAAACAGGCTCTGCGTAAATCAGAGAAGATGGTTCTCTGGAGACTTCTGTGCAGCACTTAAAATGTCTTATTTTGATTGTCTAAAGACGTCATTCTTGGGAAATTTTAGCTCAAAATGGCCACTTCCTCCTTCAACATCAGAGAAACTAGAACATAGAGATACCCACAGCAGAGCCAGAGCTAGAGGAAAACCTCCTAAATCCTAAGTTCCTGAAATTTGTAATAACCACACTGCTAAATATATTCTTCACATTTTCTTAATCTTTCCTCTCCGCCCATCCCTCTATTTAAACTACGACAATGTCTAAATGGATAAATAATGATATAGTGAATCACTGATAAATAATGATAAAATGAATGTTTTTCTTTTTAATTCCAGAATCTCATGAAAGCATGGAATCTTATGAACTTAGTAAGTGAATATTTAACTTCCTTATTTAAATCTCTTGCATTAAAGAACCTCTCCCTATTTTTAAATAAACAAGATGGTAAGATATATAACAGGGAGAAAAAAGGGGGCCTCTTTTGGAAAACTAAAGTAAATTTTAAACTCTAACGACGATAAAAATTGCCAAAGGAGCAATTTTTTAAGCTTGAGGTAGTGCAATATGGGATTTAAGCTGCATGCAACATATTCAGAAGCCATAAAATCGCATTTGGAAATTTCAAGTTGGCACCACGTCAACCACACAGATGGAAAACGAGGAGTAATGACAAATGGTAAAGCACAGACTTGGATGCCAAGTCAGCTGGAAGACCACAGGCGCCACGTTAAGCTGAGTGCTGTTTTGCTGTGTTTTGTATTTTTTTTAGACAGAGTCTCGCTCTGTCACCCAGACTAGAGTGCAGTGGCACGCTCGGAGGCTCACGGCAACCTCTGCCTCCCAGGTTCAGGTGACTCTCATGCCTCAGCCTCCCAAGTAGCTGGTACAGGCACACGCCACCATGCCCAGCTAATTTTTGTATTTTTAGTAGAGGCAGGGTTTCACCATGTTGGCCAGGCTGGTCTTGAACTCCTGGCTTCAAGTGATCCACCCGCCTCAGCCTCCCAAAATGCTGGGGTTACAGGCGTGAGATACTGTGCCCAGCCAGCTCAATGCTGTTGAATAGCTGGTCTTATAAAGACTGAGCAGGGCCGGGCGCGGTGGTTCAAGCCTGTAATCCCAGCACTTTGGGAGGCCGAGGCGGGTGGATCACGAGGTCGAGAGCTCGAGACCATCCTGGTCAACATGGTGAAACCCCGTCTCTACTAAAAATACAAAAAATTAGCTGGGCATGGTGGCGCATGCCTGTAATTCCAGCTACTTGGGAGGCTGCGGCAGGAGAATTGCCTCAACCAGGAGGCGGAGGTTGCGGTGAGCCGAGATCGCGCCATTGCACTCCAGTCTGGGTAACAAGAGCAAAACTCCGTCTCAAAAAAAAAAAGACTGAGCATAGGAGGAAATGGCCTATCACTCTGGTTTTTAATTTATTCGTTATTTTTATAGTGTCTCGACTGTTCATTCACTGGCAATCTAGAGTTATGCTTCATAAATCCTCAGGACAGAGGATTTCTCCTCAAAAGGAATTTAAAACATACCAAATAGAAATATGTAGATTAAGAAAGGCAGAGTGATTGTCCAAAGGCAAAACCAACAAAACCTACATGACCAGTCTCTAAGACACATAGAGACTTGATCAGGAAGGTAATGAAATCTATTTTATACGCTCCTTTGATTTTTGCCAATCTCTGGTTAAATGAATTGCAGAAATTAAGGCACTTTCAAATATATTTGTGTCACGGAATATTCATAAATATTTTCAGCTACGTGTTACTAAAACTGCATTTATTTATTTTCTGTTCTAAGATCCCTTCCTTAACAGGAGAAATGCGAATGCTTTCATATCTCCTCAGCAGAGATGGAGAGCTAAAGTCCACGAGAGGTCAGTGACAAAACTTCACGAGGGGCGGTCATTTTTCCCAGTGTAGATCACAGATCTGAAATGGAGTGGGGAACAGGTTTTTCATCATAAACATTATTTCTAATTGTATCTTTAAAATCAAAAAACTTAAAAACAATATACAGAAAACAACTGAATTATTGGGGAAAGATCTGGAAAGGAGAGGGGAGGAGGGAAAGGAGCACAGAAAGAAAACTTCTATTTTCATTTTTTAAAAAATCTCCTGTTGTGCCTTCCCTCTCTGGTTTTTTTTTTTTTTGGTTTGTTTGTTTGTTCGAGACAAGAGTCTTACTCTGTTAGCCAGGCTGGATTGCTGGCACTATCTCATGCCTCAGCCTCTAAAGCAGCTGGGATTACAGGCACATGCCACCATGCCCAGCTAATTTTTGTATTTTTAGTAGAAACAGGGTTTTGTCATGTTGGCCAGGCTGGTCTTGAACTCCTGACCTCAAGTGATCTGCCCTCCTCGACCTCCCAAAGTGCTGGGACTACAGGCCTGAGCCACCACACCTGGCCTCTTCCTGTTCTTTAAATATCTCTTAACTTAGGGGGGACATGGAGGGAAACACTCTCCAATATTTTTTCTTCTTTTCCATTTTCTTATTTTTCCCCTTTATGCTTCTCAATTTTGGCCTCTTTTTCCTCTTTCTAGGATCCGAGAACGCTCTAAGCCTTCCCACGAGCTCAACCGGGAAGCCTGTGATGACTACAAACTCTGCGAACGCTACGCCATGGTTTATGGATACAATGCTGCCTATAATCGCTACTTCAGGCAGCGTCGAGGGGCCGAATGAAACTGAGGGAAGAAAAAAAAAAAATACGTTTTTTTCCCGAGGCTGGCACCTGATTTTGTATCCCCTTGTAGAAGCATTACTGGAATAGACAGACTCATTTACAATGCTTGTTTCCTGTATGTTCTCTTGTCTAGCTGCACCCCTTTTCCCCACCCCCCAGATTGATAGGTAGTGAAAGTGCCCTGTGGTGAGGGTCAAAGGAGAGCGAATGTTCCATAATAAATTTCTGGTGTGATACTTTCATCTTGTAAATCTGGTTTCTTTTGGGAAAATACTGAGATATTTTAAGTCATGGCTCACCTTACCCAAAATAGGAGATTCTGTTCATCTTATATCTAGTATTGATTAGAAGGAAAACTACATAGAAAGAAGGACACTTAGAAGGCACTCATCCAGCCATAAATTCTCTAAACCCTCCCTACCTTGGAATCTGTGAATGGAATCTGGTATGTTTGTTCCAGGATTTTCCTATGGTGAATTGTGGCAAATACAGGGCTCACTTCATCTGTTTTTCATCTCTTATGCATCAGAGTCAAAAAAATTCTGAATCTAGGTAACCTAGAAGAAGAGAAAAAAGAAGAGGAAAAGGAGAAGAGAAAACAGAAGGGACAAATAAAAAATAATTGTCCAAAACTATCAATAATTGTTTATAGACAACTATATCAATAACCACATTATATGTAAATAGTCTAAACAATCCAATTTTTTTACTTCTATATTTATTTTTACTTCCACATTTGTTATAGCTTCCACACTATATTTTTATTATTCTTGCTTTAAATAATTTTAATAATTTCCTTTAAAGTTTAGATAATAAGAAAATATCCTGGACCAGACACAGTGGCCCACACCTGTAATCTCAGTACTTTGGGAGACCAAAGCAGAAGAATTGCTTGAAGCCAGGAATTCAAAACAAGCCTGGGCAATATTGCAAGACCCCATCTCTAATTTTTTTTTTAAATTAGCCAGGCATGGTAGTATAGCCCCAGCTACTTGGAAGGCTGAAGCTGGTGGATCACTTGGGTCCAGGAGTCTGAGGCTGCAGTGAGCCATAACCACACCACTGCACTCCAGCCTGGGAAACAGTGAGACTCTTGTCACTACAGAAAAAGAAAAAAGAAAAGATCTCATACGCTTACCCATGTCGTTTTCATTTCCTGTATCTTCATTCTTCTTTCCATCTGGTGTCATTTCCTTTCTGCCTGAGGACTTCCTTTAACTTTTCTTGTAGTTCAGGTCTACAGGATTCTTTAAGTTTTGTATGTTTGTTTTTATTCTTGAAAGATATTTTCACTGTATGCTGAATCCCAAGTTGCCATTTTTCTTTTAATTATTTTAAGATATTCCACTGAATTTTAGCTTGCATAGGTTTTTGACATAAAATTTGTTGGAATTCTTATTTTTGTTCCACTGTGCATACTGTGTCTTTGACCTCTGGCTGATTCTAACATTTTTCTTTTTATTAGTGATTCAGACCTACCTTGATTTGATTTGTCTTATTTCTCTTGTTCTTAAGGTATATAGACCCTCTTGGATTGCATAAAATCGGAAACGTTTCCAGCCATTATTTTTTCAAATACTTCCATCCGTCACTCCTCCTCTCCTTTAGAGGATCCAATGACATGTACATTTGACCAGTTGAAGTAATCCAACTCTCTAATGTTATTTTAATTTTTTATTTTAATATAATTGCTTTTCTCTGTGTGGTTTATTTTTTACACTTTCTATTAATGTGTCATCAGGTTCATTAACCTTTTCTTGACAGTATCTAATCTTATTTCATCTGGTGTATTTTGCATCCCAGACATTGTGGTTTTAATCACCAGAAGTTTCTTTTTTTTTTTCTTTTACAGTGTCTAATATTTTAATAATATAACATCTTAAGTTCTTTTTTTTGTCATCCAAGTTTTGTTTAAAATTGTAGCAAACTCTATGTGTGTGTGTTTGTGTGTGTGTGTGTGTGTGTGTGTGTGCATGTGCATGCGCCCTTAGTTGGCAATCTAGAATAAAATACATCATTCTGTTAACAATAATTTTCTGTAGTGTGTGAAAGTGAGGTATTTAAGAGTAGGAAATCTAGATAAGATTTAATTTTTTAAACAAAGCTTCACATGCACCCCTGAACTTAAAATAAAACGTTTTTTAAAAAGATTTAATTTTTTCCTTTACGTTCCTGGGCTGTTGGATTTTTTTTATTGCATTTTAGGTTTTGGGGTACATGTGCAGAACATTCAAGATAGTTGCATAGGCACACACGTGGCAGTGTGTTTTTCTGCCTTCCTCTCCTTCACCCACATTTGGCATTTCTCCCCAGGCTTATCCCTCCCCAGCTCCCCCCCACCGCTGTCCTTCCCCTATTCCCCCCAATAGACCCCAGTGTTTAGTACTCCCCTCCCTGTGTCCATGTGTTCTCATTTTTCCTCACCCACCTATGAGTGAGAATATGCGGTATTTCATTTTCTGTTCTTGTGTCAGTTTGCTGAGAATGATGGTCTCCAGATTCATCCATGTCCCTACAAAGGACACGAACTCATCATTTTTGATTGCTGCATAATATTCCATGGTGTATATGTGCCACATTTTCCCAGTCCAGTCTATCATCGATGGGCATTTGGGTTGGTTCCAGGTCTTTGCTATTGTAAGCAGTGCTGCAATGAACATTCGTGTGCACGTGTCCTTATAGTAGAACGATTTGTAGTCCTTTGGATATATACCCAGTAATGGGATTGCTGGGTCAAATGGAATTTCTATTTCTAAGGCCTTGAGGAATCGCCACACTGTTTTCCCCAATGGTTGAACTAATTTACACTCCCACCAACAGTGTAAAAGTGCTCCTATTTCTCCACATCCTCTCCAGCATCTGTTGTCTCCAGATTTTTTAATGATCGCCATTCTAACTGGCGTGAGATGGTATCTCAATGTGGTTTTGATTTGCATCTCTCTAATGACCAGTGATGATGAGCATTTTCTCATATGTTTGTTGGCCTCATGTATGTCTTCTTTTAATTTGGATGTTTTCATATCTTTCATGCCTGTACTTATTTTTTTTAGTGTATTTGATATATTTAAATAGTTACAATAACCATTTTAGTGTCCTTATGTGCTAATTCTAATATGTGTCTGTTACGAGTTGGTTTGATTGGTTGATTATTCTACCATATGAATCACAATTTTCTACTTTTCTGCATTCTTGCTTAATTTTATTTGATGCCAGATATTGTAAATTGTACCTTTTTGTGTGCTGGATATTATAGTTCTGTTATTATAGTTACAATAACTATAGATATCATAGTTCTATTATGCAGAAATAGTTCTGTATGTGTTTCTGAGCTTTACTCTGGATTCAGTTAAATCATTTGGATAAATTTGATCAGTATTTAATCTAAGGCTAATTATTTTGGCACACTAAGCCAAGACCTTTCTGAATCCTGCGCCCAGTGTCCCATGACAATAATTGCAGCCTTGAGTTAACAGCCGCCTGTTTCCTCTGTTATTCTTGGATGGTAATCCCCCCACACACATATGCCAGTCAGTCCTCTGTGTGTACATGAGACTGCCCTCCACTGATATCCAGGGATCCCTCCCACTCTCTCCTCTGCAGTATTTGGCCATGTGAAATACAGTCACTGTATTTGTCTAGAACTTTCAACTCCATCTCAACTCAAAATGTCCACTGGACTCCAGCTTGATTCCCTCTCCCTAAGCCATGGCTTAGAAACTCTCTTAAGGCAATAGGCTGGAGAAGCCATAGGACTCACTTTGTTTTCCATCCCATATCAGTTGCCATCTGTAATTGCCTAATGTCCAGGGTCTTAAACGCCATTTTTTTGGTATGTGTTGTCTGTTTCTCTAGTTGTTTCTGAAGGAAAGATAAATCCCCTTTCTTGGATCGAGTCTTAGTTCCTTAGACTCCATCTTAGCTAAAAGTCCATTAAAACAGGCAGGATTATTTAAATGGTCATCCCAGCCCCAGAGTTCCCCCATAAAATTGGCTCAGACATATACTGCAGATATATCACAATTCAAATGTTCACTCTGCCTAGCCCTACTTCCGGCACCCTCTCATGCATTGTTCCCCAATAAACCACCCGCACGCAAATCTCTAAATCTTAGAGCTTGTTTCCTAGGGAACCAAATCTATGACAATCATTCAGGTGGTAAACGGTGAATAGGCAACCAGCATCTTCTAGCTCCAGAATCTTCTCACTCCAGCTTGTTTTACTCATTACCTAACACTAGTTTCATAGTTTTTGAGTTGACAAGAGATTCAGCAATAATCTATTTAACCCCCTCATTTTACAGTTGAAGACTTTGAGAGCTCGAAGTCTAAGTGACTTGAGTGACGATCCCAAGGGCAGGTAATTCTGTTTTCTTGAGAAATTTACTTGTACTGGCCTCATAAAATCTAATTCTTAAAGAGACGCATACAAATAGCCCATATGTTTTTACCAGCCTCCCATCGTGTATAGTCACACTTTCCAACCTGATGAAGCTATTTTTAATGTAGTTTCTACCTCAGTCAAAACTTTATCTATCTACCATCTAAGATAGATATAATATAATCAACTCTATAATTTCTTTTTTTGATATACCCTTGTTTTTCAGAACTAAGACACATAAAGTAACATGTTACAGGTCTTATTCTCTTCCCCCTTTCTCATCTTGGTAAGGTTTGTCCATAGATTAATTTAGCTTGAGAACCAAAGAGTGTTTAAACGTAAGCCGATTACTCTGCCACCACCCGTAAAAGCAATTTTCATCTTAGAGGAGTGTCTAAGAATAAGTACTTTGTAGCTAGGCCTCCTGGTTTTTAATGCCAACTCTGCCACTGAGAATGTGTCAATTTTGGGCAAGTTAAGTGATCTCACTGGGCCTCAGTTCCCTTATCCATAAAATAAGATTATTCTAGTACCTATGTTAGAGTTGCTGTCAACGTTAAACAAATCAATATATGTAAAGTACACAAAACACTGCCTGGCATGTAGTAAGTGCTCAGCAGTTCTTAGCTATTTATACTGCATTATACTACCACTATGCCCTGGATATTTAAAACAGCAAGACAATGCCTCTTTGGACAGTTAACTTACACCTCAAGCATCTATAATCGCCTGTGAAGGGCGGTCTGCAGGACTCGTACCAAACACTATTAACAGCACCGGCTACTTGGTGCTCACTTCACTTTCCCTCTCCTCCACCAGGCCACAGCTACCCATGCTAATCAGCACGCAGTTTCCAAAAAGACTAGAAAATTCATGTTCTTCGTTTTCGTGCTCAACTGGGTTTGAAACTTTTGCAGCCAAGGTAATTCATACTAGAATGGAGCTAAACTTATATTCTTATATTGTAATGGTAGTGGTATATGCAGACACCGTGTACCCTTACCCTTTCAATAGAGGGAATCTGTAAGTAACCTGTTGCTATATGTACCTTAAGTTCTTGATGTCCTTAGTTATCCATCATCAGTCGCTTTTCCAACTACTAATTTTAATGCTTCCTCGCCATAATACAGAACTCTAATTAGAGTGAATTCTGTCGTAAATTCATGTTGATTTGGAATC